AACCACCATGTTTCTACAGCAGCCCAGAACGGACAAACCAAACACTGACTCTAGATAGCAGCGTTCATATTTTCTGCACGTTTTGTGGGTGAAGCAAGGGAGTTGCAATAAACAACTACACTGCTAGATGACAATACATCCTACACACTGGACATTTAATTTAATGTTATTTAAAATAAATTGTTTAGTTTTGGTTTTTCAGGGGACCAAGTTCTGTGTTTGTTTGAACCATCCATCCACTCACCAACTCCATATGTGGACTTTCCTGCTCTTTAAACTGCAGTATTTGAAGACTTGGGAGTGAGATGGGGTTGGTCCTGTTGCCCGTTTATGGACCGCGCAGAATTCATATGGAGGTTGCCAGGGTGGATGGATGGTTGGCATTCAAAGTTCATGACTTTGTACCCCGTAGCCTGGGGTTGATATCCTGAGCCCTGTGTGTAGTCTGCTTCAGGATGGATAAGGGAAGGAAAGGTGGATTTTGTTAAGTGAACGCATCCTGTCTTGTGCCTCCAAGTCACTGTTTAAGTTGCATAAACAGAACCTTAAAAAATAATCATGCTGTAGTTAATATAAGCTGATGTTAAAGAATAATATGAGAGTCTTAACTATATTATATTAATTTTAGAAATGTATGTTAATTTTAAGTCTTCAAAATATGTCCTTTGTGGGGGACATGGGGAAACAGAGCACTTAAATTATTGTTTGTGATGTGTTTCTTATATGTGATATTCAAAATATTAAAAACACTTTTTGAAGTAAAAACACTGAACAAAATGGTAGCCTAAATATTTTGAATGAGTTTAAGCTGTTAGAGTGTCTCAGTAGCAGTTAAAGAGGACTCTGTCAGATCACTAACTCTGGGTCCTGTCTCCTCTCCAGCTGCTGTGGATTACCTGGCCAAGAACGTTGGCCTGTCCAGTCAGCGCAGGATGAAGCTGACTGACCACTCAGCTGTACTGGGACTGCTGCAAGTCGAGACTGGCCAGGCCTACTAGTACTCACCTAACATATTTTAACAACATGACATCTGGTCACCAGCACAACCCCCATCTCCTGCTACCATCCATACAAATCTCCCAGAGAATGTGTGTGTGTGTGTGTGTATCATAGACTGAGTATATGATATTTAGCTTTTTCATACTCATTTTATGTAACTGTTTCTCCAGGGTTTAAGAATGATGCAGCTGTCCGAGCTTTAAAGCATGGGACCAAGCAAATTCACAAGGATTTCCACTGATAGGATGTTAAGTGTTCTTTTATTTGTCCTTATATAATACTGCACAACAATTTGTACTGGATAATTATAATCTAGTGATGTAATAATTACTATGTGAATCCTGAGCCAATCCATTCAGACTGACCTTTTTACACATAATGTCAGTTCACAACACTGCACTCAGTGTTGTGAACTGACATTAAATGCATTTGTCCACATCAAAAAATGCCTTTGTGTTCAGTCTGAACACACCTTTGGGAAACACCACCTGGTTACTCTGCTAAGTCACCTCCTAGTCTTCATCACTTGTACTGAGTTTCATTCACTGACATATTTTTCTGCTTGTGTCGTCACACAACTGCACGTGTGAGTGGATTATGGCTCATGGATGCTCCAGTAGGGGAGAGTAAGGTCAGTTGTCACATTTTTTGCCTTCATTTGAATCCTTCAAAAACTGTATTGATAATGGATTCCCTTCCAATGTGTAATGGAAGTGTCAGGTAGGCATGGACCCGGTAATCTTATTCTCTTTAAAGCTGCAGTAGGTTACTTTTAGAAAAATACCTTTTCGCCATATTTGCTGAAACCTTCACTATGTGTATATATATACATACAACAATAGACAACCTGGAACTAAAACTCACCAATCCACTATCTTTCCTGTCTCTGATTGGTTGTTTTCGTTCAGGTCTGGTGGATTCTTGCAAATACCATTAGGAGTACTAGGAGAAGCCAGAGGAATCAATTTTTTTCACAGATTATCTGTCTCATGTACTACTGTCATGATCAAGTTTTGGCAAATATGGCAAAAGGTTATTTTTATACATGTTACCTACTGCAACTTTATTATTATTTAATAATATTAATTAAATTAAATTAAATTATTATTACCCATTGTGTAAATGCCTAGAGGAGACACACAGAAGAGCTGGACTTTTACATACATATATATACATATATACATATATATGACCCTGTAGGTGACCCCTGGCCCTCTAGGGAGTGATGAATGTGACAACCAACCCTGTTGTCCCTTACCTCAAATTCAAGTCGGTTGTACTTCTGACCACACAGGTGGGTGTTGATAATTTAAACTAAGCAAAAACAAGATTTTCAGCTGTTGTTTTTTTTTTTTAATCCTCGAAAAGAACAAAATGCTGGGGCAACCCTAAATACTTACATTTTTTATGTGAGACTGGTCAACTTAATAGATACTGAATATCAGCACAAATTATTGGCAGCTTAAAAAGAAAAAAACCCTTCAGGAACCCATGTGTGCATGTGTGTCTAAGTATGTGAGGGAGATAAACACCTCTGTAGCAGACTGATACGGACTAATTGAGCCATTCCTGAAGAGATGTCTCTGTTCTGACACTGCAGCCCCTCTTATCAACAACAAGACCTCCTGAGGAGCTTTGGCAATAGTTGGAGGTCAAACAAGTTCCTGACTGAGCAGCTCGCACTCAGTGTGACCATCTCTTCCCATCAGCTGGAGCCGGACGTTTCTCCAGGCAGCTTAGTACCAATCATTACACACTCACTTTCATTTCTTTGGATTTGAGTTAATTTATTGTATACTCCTTGCATTTATCTATGAAAAACAAGCACTGGTTAGTACTATGACAATCCAACATCAGCTATTCATAGTTATCATAGTCATTCAATCATATCTGCAATTACAATTGGAGTTGTTAACAGTGTTCCGTTTGGAAGTGTATCTCCCACAGTTACTTTCATGCTTGCTAAATGGTTTACTTGCTGTGTGGATTATGTTTCTCTTCAACATATCAAACAGAATGTTCATATTGAGCAAAATGTTTACTGTCAATGCTTTTATGTCATAATCCGTCCATGACAACTACAGTATGGTTGAGAATGGTTCAACATTTTGCTATAGTGCCTATGTCTGAAATCCTAGTTTCCTCTCAGCTCGCTGTTGATGTGTAGTTTAATTAGTGAACAAAGATACTGTAAATTATCAAATAATGGACTTTACTTACCTCAACTGCAGAGCGGACCAGGCCTATTAGAGATCAAGGACATGCACAGACATGTTAAGGGGCTGTTGCTGTTGCTCTGACCTGAATGGTATAACCAATGGGATGCCCAGTAAATACAAATCTCCACATATGCTTCAGAACGATGCATTTTGTACAGTATTGCCTTATATCATGCTATAGGCTACAGAATTTTGCATGTAGCCTGCTGCCCATGCTAGTTAGCTAGCTAGCTAAAATTGGTTCATGTGATAGCATTATATAAAATATATTGCGCAACGATATGCAAATGTGTCAAAAAACAACATTTTGGATGATACTGCGATTTAGATTGGTCCAGCAATTATAGGCTAGGCATATTTTTGCAACAACAACAGCAAAAAATAAACAAATAAAGAGGGCAATTGGGCTGTGGATTCAGCCCAGCCTTGTGCACGTCCTAGTGTAATAAAAGGCTCAGTGATTTTACCTGGCCATTATTTGAATATTTGAGAATTTATCAAGGTAGTTAAAATTCAAGAGTCAGATAGTCAAAACTGATTTGTAATATGGATCCAAATAATTTACCTTTCAGAATGTAGAGATAAATTTGCATTTTGACATGTCATAAAGGAATTCAGGTCTGTCCACACCAAGAACAGTAACTATAATGATGTGAGTATCTACAGTGATGAACAATAAAAAAAAGGTTTTGTTGATAAAAACCCACGTTGGTCCCCAAATGCCTCTCGTAATGTTCCTCCGCTCGGTTGTTGGTTTGTAGATTTGATGAGTAATTTTCATATCAAAATGTGCTTGCAAGAAGACACAAAGTGAAGTGAGGACAAGAATTAAGAGTGAAGTGTATGGAAGTTCAACAACAAACGTTTACTAGAAGAAGAGAAAGAGACAGAAATTAAGGCAGAGCAATTACTCCAAATGTATGTAAGCCGCGTGAGTAGATGCTCTATCTATAAGAAGGATTCATACCGTCCAAGGAAACAAAACATCATCCTCCTAGATGCTCTACACTTCAGCAGCCAAACATAAATCTAAAGGGCAAGTGCATATCCTTCTCAGAAAATGTTTACGCATATCGGCATCAACTTATATATTTGTGATATACCATCGCTGAATTTCTGCATGTAACCTCATTACCAAAAAATGTTGGCACGTCTTTTATTATCTATAAACTATAGATTGTGCTTGTTCCTTGAGATATCTTCATTCTGTATTCAGTACCTTAAAAAGAGAGATTCAGATGAGCTATGACCTTTATATAGCAACCTGGACTAGCTGTGACGGAACCTTTAGTCTTTAAACTCAACCTGTGTGCTGCCTTTTATTAGGAAAAGATCAAATACTTTCATTTATCGAGGATCCGATGTGGCCAGTCCAATAAGTTCTTGCCATAGTCAACACCACACACATAGGAAGTGAACAATGGGACCCTCGCTGAGCTCTTCTTTTAGTGCCCGCAGACTATCTCGTCGGAGCCGTAAGCGTGAATGCCCCGTTGGAAACAGCGTCAGCATATCGTACTATACACACAGGCCTTCAATTAATGGACTTCACGATTTGTTGTTGTGTGCTTATACATGCCTCTCATTACATGCACAGGGATGTTAATTGTAACTAAACAGCTTCTTGGCCTGGGTGTCGAACAGCCAAGCATAGCGATGTTACATAGTACGTATTCACATACATGATCCATGCATCTCAATTATAATAAAGGAGCAACCTCTCCAAGCTCCCTGCTACGCCCCCTACCGGTAAGTTCCTTTGGGAAGCATTCCTGCTACTGTCAAGAATAAGGTTACACCAAACCAATACATCGTCGTAGCCTCATTTTTCTATGATACATATGGTATCTCAAGTTGCATACCACAGCGTCATTCATCAAATGGCTCTGAAAGCCAACCCAACGATATCGTCTGCCACTGTTGTTATAGTTGTGGTGGACACTACCATCAATTTTAAAGAGATCTATTTATAGTTATTGTTATTACTCTTGGTGTGGATGTTCCTTTAAAGATTTCTGTAATGTCAACCTCAAAAATGGTTAGCCATTCTAGCACAAACTGCACCAGTTTCATGAAGGAGTCCATTGAGGATGTGTAGCACAGTCAGAGAGGTTTGATCTTCCTCACTCTGATCACCCATACCAACCAAAGGGAAACCTCCTGGCTTTTGCACCCCTCCATGAACTCCACTGGAACTTCCCCACTGCTCAGGAGACCAACAACAATGCTGTGAGTCGTGTTCTGGTCTCTGGTGGAAAGCACCTCAAAAGGATAAACGGAGACAAAACACAATGGCATTCTTCCACACATAAACCATACTTGAAGCATCCAAATATGCTTCTGCATTATTAACGTTCTCTTTCTTTCACTTTTTGTTCTGTATTTAATGCCATTCCAGAGGGACACTCAGTGTTTTATCCTCAGCTCACAAGACCATCAGGAATTTAGAGAGTTCATTTCCATTCCCACTAAATGCTGGTGTCCATGTAGACCTGTTGTGGTCTAATACAGAGGCTTTTATAATATCTCTGCATCTCCACGAGAGCCATGAAAACTCTTTGGACGCTGGCTGTGTTAACCTCTTGTGTATATATATTTTTTCAATGATAGCAAACCAAGGAGAACATTAAGGATCAAATGTACAGATATGCTCATTCACCCCCACCCCTCCTGTTTAACTCTTGGTCCTTTCTCTGCTTGTTTTGTTCTGCTTTCTGTTTGGCATGTGTGTATGTTGCCATGGTATAATTTATTCTACCTGTAGGACGTATTAGACTAGTAAGAAATTTGTATTGGCATTTACTCCCCTCAGCCTCTTGGTGTGTCAACTGTAACACTGGCGTAACTGTCTGTTCATTAAAGCTCTACAACTGGACCAAGACCACAGGCTTGTGCTGGCTTCCTGCTCTTCATTAACAGACACTGAAGATGTTGTTGTTGCTGTTTGTAGGCAGTAAAATGGAAGAAGAAAATGGATTCGGTTCAGCATTTTTTCAGAGTTTTTAAGCTGCAGTAGGTAATTTTTATAAAAACATTTATACCATATTTGCTGAAACTTTCACTATGTCCTGACTGTAGTACATGAGACAGATAATCTGTGGAAAAAATCCGGTTCTTCGGGCTCCTCCTAGTGCTCCTAATGGTATTTGCAAGAATCCACAGGACCTGAACGAAAACAACCAATCAGGGCCGAGAAGCCACCTTTGGGAATAATGTATTTGACATGTACTTAATTTTTTGAGTTTGTCTCATCTGCAAACATGGAGGCAGCAGTTTTATGACCTATACTGTAGCCAGCCACCAGGGGACGATAGAGATGTTTTGGCTTCCCTTTGGGGAGCTGTCATGTCATCCATCTTTATATTTGTTGATGGGATGGATGGATAGGCATCACCATCTTTAGGCTTGAACCAATAAAAATACAAAGAGAATTTACACGTAACATAAAAAATAGTAATCAGCCGTTCTTTTATGTCAAGTAATGTGAACTGGTTTGTGATTATGTAACCAATATTAAGATACAGATTGTTAAATAAGCCTGGTAAATAGCAGTAGCTACAAACCACCTCACACAGAAAATTCTGACTCATGCTCCAAAAATCTACACAACATGGCTACATGGCTTTTTTCAATGTATCTAAGTCTGGTTCCACAGTAATGACCACAGCACATCTGAAACGCAACAGAATTTAAAATTTTCTCATTCCATTTAGTACAAATCATATACATTACTTTACTTTAGTGCCAGCCATTTTCTAAAACATACTATTGATTTTTCCAGTATGGAAATGGACTGGCAAGCACTTGAAAGTTGCTTGAAACAGATAATACATTCACAACTGCATTTATTGCAACTTATTTTGTGCAAAGCCAGCAAAAGGGGCAATACAATCTCAAAGCCATTCTTTTTTTCTTCTGTAAGTGTGCCATGTAAAAATTATTTATTGTAAATGACTGAATTTATATAGCTTTACAATTTGCCACTTATTCGTACACACACGCTGATAGCAGCAAGCTACTGTGAAAGGTGCTGGTCGGGGAGCAATTTGGTTCCTAAGAACACTTTGATGTGTGGACAGGAGGAGCTGGGGATGAAACCTCCATCCTGTAAATAGAGGATGATGAGCTCTACCTACAGTATGTTTATGTGTATATCTTTTTTATTCTTCTTGTTGGTGGTTAAATTCAAACTCATGCTAGAGGTTGTTTTTTTGCAGACGATACTTTCTGTTGTATCAAAGAGATTATTAGTTCTGTGCTTCTATTATTTTTTATTTTATTTTTTTACTGAAGTAGTGATATTGTGTGAATGTAAATATACCTGTAAACTAATACAACATATTAACATTAAACCATAACCGAAGAACCATTTGACTGTACTCACAGTCATTATTGTCTTACAATGCAGGTTAATCTAGCAGTAATCTCTACAAAAATCTACAATGATACGAGGTAATTTAATTGAATGAAATTCTGGTTTGTAGTTTCCTTTATGCAATTCCTCAAAAAAAAACAAAAAAACTTTTGTTACTGTAGCAATAACCAATCCTTACAAGGTTGCAAGGATAAGAGGCTCAGAACGCATTGTGTTGTAATTTTCGTGTATCAAGTTGATAGACAGAATTTGCAACTAGAAAAGCCACTGGATACTAGAGGTAGCAACCAGTTAATCATCACCATGTCAATTACCATTTTATGCTGATGATACTCAATTGTATATCTGTCTCACCAATCATCCCTAACACACTGCATGCTCTCATTGCCTGTCTCACTGACATGTGGTTAAAAACTTTACTTTCACTAAAAAGACCATGCCAATGAACATATGGAATTAGAATGGTTTATTACACATAATGGATAAATGTGAAATGTCATATGATAAACTGTAGGGACGGGGTTGAGGGATGAAGGGATATAGGATAGAAGGGTGAGGGATGAACGGATGGAGGAGAAATAAGGTTTGTGAACAGATGGATGAATGGATGGAAGGAAAAGTTTGATCGAGAAGGTGGGAGGTCTCTTAGTGGGTGTGCCGTTCTTTTTTACTCTCTTCTTTAGAGCCCTAGTGGTTCCTGTATTTGAATAAGAGAGAAAAAGAAAGGATTTGGGAGGGATGGATGTGAAAACAGATTCAAGGAGGGAGTGGACAGATAAGGTGTGCTTAAGTATGTTTTTAGCAGAAATGAGATGAGTTCGAGGTGTGGTCTTTGTTCCCGAACCTAGTTATAAAACTTCATTCAAAGCTGAATCAGGTAAAAACAGAGATTCTCTTAATAGGACCCAAAGCAGAGAGAGAAAAACGGCTGTCAGTAGAGATTAAAACTAACGTCAAACATTTAGGATTTGTCAGGGCTGGTGACAAGGACT